CCACATGATTTACAGTACTTTACTAAAAGTTGTTTTCACTCTAAAAAGTAGCTTGTTTTACTACTTTTAGTACCACACTTTCTGTCGAGTAGCTGATGCTGTTGGATTTTTAATTTAGATTTGAACAAAACTTAAAAAAGTACTGAACTTCCTATCACATAGGTAGTGGTGGTAATGCTTGATAAACGCAACAGCTGCAAACAGTTAATTTTTTGTCATTCAGTATCTGCTATTTGCAATCTGTAACCATCAGTGTATGACTTGCAATGAAATTGCACGATCTCTCACTTTATCATAGGTTGGAGTCATTCTCTGTCTGCTTTGTCTTTCATAGGGTTAGTAGACAAACTATTTCCTCCCACAATGTGTCCAAGTAATTACATAAATGTATACTTTGGTGAACACTTCCCTAGTTTCAAGCATAGCATTTGAGGAAAGTTAGAGATACTCTTAAATCTCTCTGGTGTGATAAATGCTTAGTTTGTGTTGGATTATGTACAGTTAGGATAATAATAATAATAATAATAGCATTTTATATCCTACAATAACTATGGTAATTATGTGATATATATATAATTAACCCAACATAACATTTGGTGGAGTTGAATAAAGTCGATGAATAAAATGTGGAAACCACCTGACTCAGCATAACTCATGTAAGTGTTCACTAAAATGATAAGGAGGAATGTTTACGAAAAGTAGGAAACTGTCAAGGTTATACATACTAGTTAAAAAGATGTTGTACTTACCACAAAATATAAAAAATGGAATGAGTAATTTGTTGAAAAAAGAACCTCCATTCAAAGGTCAGTGTTCCAAATCTCTCTATAAAGTCTTCCAAGTTACAAGAAATCCTAACAAATCTAATAGGTTGTGATTGGTATATGTTATAACATACTTTATTTGAATAGTTTGTGTTTGAAAATGGGAAATTTATAGTTTTTAAATTAAAATCTTCTGATTTATTATGAAATTTGAATGAACATTTTTGATTAAAACCCTAACATTTAAATCCAGATAGTGTTCTCCAGGTAGGTCGTTACGTGAAGAGAAGAAGAACAAGCAATGAGGAGAGCATTAGAGCTGCCAGTAGCCAGCAAGAGAAGATGGGCAAGGCCAATAAAGCATTGAAAGGATGACATTAAAGAAGACATGAATGAGAAAGGAATTGCAGAAGACCCAGTAATGAAAAGAGATGATTGGAGGAAAGCAACAAGTGTGAAGGACAACAACCTCTGCCAAAGGGAAAAGCTGAAGAAGAAACATTCTTGAATTGCATTTGATGAACTTTTCCAAGTACTAGTTCTGTCATTTAAATATGCTTAACTGTGTCAGGAAGATTTGATAGGATTTGAACAACTATGTCTTTGATTTATCTGCATGTTCTGTTAATTTGTAAAGATTTAATGTAGTCTTTCTTGAGAAGTTATGTGATGTATTGATATTACAGTTCAAAAATAAATAAATCTGTTGCTTATGGACTGAAGTTAAAACCCTGTTTTATGCCCTTTCTCTCTTTAATGATGTGTGAGCCAAATCATATGAATGTATTATTAAGTGAAACATTATGGCTTGTATAAATTCATTCACTGTAAAACATTGATATATGTATCTTTTTTTTTTTTATGGTGAGTGTGAGCAAAAAAGTATTTAGTATCATCTATGCAAACCATTAATTTACCAGCTTTGTGAAAATATCTATTAATTACAGAATTAATTTGTTCACTGTCTATCTAATACTATAACTAAAGGTAGGCATGTATAAAGGTTGTTGAAATAAAATGTCTCAATAGATTTAGCTTTGACATTTGTTTGCATTCCATGGAATTTTCCATAATTATGTATGGATTAATACCCGTCCTTTCTTTCATAATTCTAAAATAGTTCTTCAAATGTTCATTGATGTACTTAAGGCCTTTACTTATTAAAATGAATACAGTTTTTGTATTGGCTTTTTGGCTCTAGCTATGAAACTGTATTTATAGTATGACTTGTGAAGCTTAGGTCCCTTACACATCAAAAGCCTTAAAGTTTCATTTTGAACAATGTTAAGGTTTACAATAATGACATGTTGAATGGGTGTGTAAGTGTAAGAAGTAGGATGAGGAAAGAACATTATTCAGTTTGTCATTATTAATGTTATCTAAAACCCAATCACAATTAAAAACTATCAAATTTGGTAAAGTTTAACTTACTGATGGAGATTTATCATTACAGGTTACACATAGTAATTGTTGTAGACTTTTAATACATTAATTAATCTAATAATACATTACAGATTATTAAGCTATATGCTTTTGTCAATAAATGGAGCAATGAAGAATACTTTATTTTTGTTAGATGTTTTGTTTTTACTTGGAAAGGCTGCTGCTAAGTAGCACAGTACAGCAAATTTGAATTGATTATCAACATCTTTGGAGTTGAAATTCAACTTGGTTTGAGTAATCATACATTTATTAACTTTAAGGCTTCACAATGCAACATACAGCAAACCAAGACCATTTGTTTAAGATAATAGAAGTAATTCGATTAATGGTAAATGTCTTAATCCTATAAGTTTTTACTGTAACCATGAGGATGACATTTAATACGTTGAAAAAATAAGGATTAACTGAAAATCTGGAATTTTAAGAAATGTTGGAGAATGTAACTAAAAGATGGCTGTCTGTTCACAAGTACGTGTAATGATGTATTCTGGTCTGTAAAAACTCACTAGTCAAACATTTGGGTCTGTTAGTCAGAAATGTTTCACATTTTACAATACTGAACAGATGACTAAAGTGGTGTACACATACAGAATTTCCTGCAATTCTTGATGTTAATTCCGCCTTATATTTCTTCTAGGTACACGAATATAACTGAATTACAGATATGCTCTAAACAAATGTTTAATTTTCTTTTCTGTTCATTGTTTCAGGCCAACTAGAACTGCTTGGTCAGTTTGTGCAGTAGCCTGAGTTTATTTCTTCTGCTTTAATCACCTCTAGATTACATAGCAAGATGGAGGAAAACAAACACCATTTATTTTACAAATATATGGATGCTGTGCTTAGACAAAACTCAGAATTGGCCTTAAACTTGTACAAAAAGTTGTGTTGATGATAATACTTGTTAAATTGAAATAACTACATATTTCATGACTACAACACTGGTGATGTATTGAAGTTTAAGGTGGGAATGGCTGACATAATGTTCCTATTAACTCTGCAATAAACTATTCCCAGTGGAAGTCTACAGGTCCCAATAGAATTCTTAGACACACATTGTGCACAACTGTTTTGCAACCCTGGTGTGCAGAATTGTTTGTGTGTAAATACCACAGAGTAATAATTCAAATAGACAGGAAATACATAGAAAATTCTGCTACTTAATATGTCCTAATGTGCACGTACATAGAATATTCATTTCATGTGCTTAAGATGTATTTATATATGCTCATTCAGACATTAAGTTTCAATTAAAAAATCCATTGCTATTGTGTTTCATCATTTCAGAAAGTTATGTTAGTACTCTGAAAATATTTTAAACTTGACAGTTTTTCGTCATTTACAAGTGTAGTTTTTTAATTTAATTTAATTTTTTAGGTTGCCTACCAAAAAATCCTACAGCTGTCTTACATTGACAAGTTTTTAGATGACATTCAACGTGAGTTTCGTGATAAGTACAAGGGAGACTTGGAGAGTTGTCAGTTCTTCTCAAATTTTGATCTTGGAAATGAATTTGAAAAGGTATTCACCAAAGCCATATAATTTTTCACTTACTAGTGCATGGAAATTACTGAGAGATTAAGCCCCAAAAAAATCATTATGATACTTTTTCAGAATATAAACATGATTATGATTTACTGTTAAAACCTTTTTTGAAAGTGGAACAATTTGTAGTATTTTGTTTTCTTTACTTATATTTATCATAGCAAATAATTTACAAAATAAGTAAAAACTAAAGAAATTAAGAAATGTTCCCAGATTTTTTTCTCAAATTTGTATTGAAACTACCCAAATTAGTAGAGTTAAGCAACTTTAACCACAAATGTCAGTCTGCATTTCTTATGTATCACCTTTCAAACAAACAGAATGTTGAACACTGCAGGGTGAGAACACATTATGCTTATGTGTTAGTGTGATGGAAGATATGGTTTAGTTTTTAATGGTAGAATTAAGTTAAATTTTTGTTTTTATACATAGTTCACCAATATTGTTATTGGGCCAAATAATCTTTTCTTAACTAAATAATTTCCTCTAAACCAGAAAACTTTTAAGATGTTTTAATTTGATTTCAGGATCAAAATGTTTTTGATATAAAAATTTTAAATTTTTATTTTCATTATGTTTCACATGTTTGCATTTTCATTATTTGTACTCTGCATTTAATTATTCACAATTCAAGGTCTTAGCTTCTGCCGAAGAATATGGTAGAATGATGACAAGTCAGCCAAGGAAGATGCGCACTTTTGACGAATCACTGAAATCTAAGAAAACTGTAGCTTCTATGATAGAAAACAAGGATACTAAGTCTACCTCAAAAGAAAAAGAAAGTAAAGAGACTCTCAAAGAAAAAGGTGACTGTATGTCAGAACTTATAAGAAAACTTATATTTTGTGTTACTTTATTAAGCAGTATAACAATGAAAGTTATGAACTTTGTGTAGTATTAAACTAACTTTAGTCATGTTATCTTGCTCAATAGCTAGTTAGCAAAGTTTTATACACAGTCATTTCTTTAGAGAAACTGTGAGGCAGGTTGTACATCACCCAGGGACTCAATTAAAATAGGCTCTGGTTAAATTGCACACATAAACCCCTCCCATTCTCTCTGCATCTTCCAGCTTTCCTAAAGATTTGGGGTCTGTGCCCAAATATTTTGAACATTCTGCTAATTTGCTGCATGCATTATACTTGAAAGAAGTTGCAAACATACAACAACAATACAAAAAATGGTAATAGGCAGCAGACAGACTGCATTTATGTTATTATACCACAAGTACATGCAAGTCATGACTCAAAATTTGCAATACAAATATGAGGAGAATGGTTTGTTCTGAAACTTTCCTACATTTCTTCATCATTCAGCCTTTAACCCATCTGGTCATTTAACTAAATCTGGTATCTATGTCATAACCTCAAAACTGGCTTTTTAACAAAGTTGAACTAAAATTGCCTTGCAGTACTAACACCAGTACTTAAAAAAATACAAAATTATGCGAAAGAACACAGAATCGTTTTCCATAATTGTGTATCTAATAGGATGAACAAATCTCTAAATATAAAGAAATAATAAAGACATTTGTAGTTGTAAGTTTAACTTTAACTTGGTTTAAGGCCTGTTCACATTTATTTACTTAGTTTTATTGTTAATAAGATTTTAGTTTTACTTTTTATTTTCCCTAAATTGACTTTGGCTAATTAAGAATGCATTTAAGAAGATTAAATTGAGAGAAAAGCTAGAAGATTTAACAAACTTTAGGAAAGCTAGGAATGTTTTTTAAAAAGAAACTTCAAAATTGAAAATTTTACTTTTACTTATTGTGTGGAGGGATTTGCAGACTGAGACAGCATTGAAGGACCAGGTGGTCTCTTGTTGTCCATATGTTTATCACTAGGATAAGAAATTCTTATGTGTCAAATAGATAATGTCATAATCTCTTGAGCTTAATTTCTTTTAGGAGAGAAGTGGAATGACTAGCTTTGAACATGATGGACTTACCCTGAAATACAAACTAGATAATGAATTTGAATTGGTTTTTGTGGTAAGTGTAAACTTGTTTTATATGGTGATGTCATAAAATTTTCATATTTTCAATTATGAGTTTTATTTCAGATTCTGTATAGCTTGGCACAGTATGTAGTTTCTAGTATTCACTAGGTTTCATAATTGTTTCTTAAATGAAATGCTCAAGTTATTTTGCAGCAAAACTTGGATGTAACATAATTTATGCAATTTATTATTGATTCCAAAATTCAAATAGAAAAATATTTTATACTTTGTATTCTGATGAAGTGAGAAAAGTTTATAAAAAGTTTGTGATGGTTTGAAGAGTAATATTTTGTAAATTGTTTAGCCCAGGAACTTCTCTAAAGGGTTCTTTGTGTGTTTCATGAATCAGCTGTAGATTAAATTATGATTCAAATTTAGATCATACATCTTGAAAGTGATGGTGAAGAATACAGTACTTTTTATGTAAAGTTATTCTTTTCACCTTTATTATTTCATGAAAAATTTCTATACATAGAATGATTAATACAACTGGATATATTTGTAATATTAAACTGTTCATTAATAATCAATTCAGCAAATAGATAAAATTGCAAATATCTGTGCATCTAAAGGTTATCTATGATCATGAAACAAAAATAATAATTGGCATGAGGTTTGGATCAGTATGACTTGAGCCCTTTAATGTAAATCACTACTAAAGTGAAAATGGCAACCATTAATATTGAGAAGGAATGATACTTTTGAAAAATAAAGTACTGTATGGTGTTGTTAGGAAAAGCAGAAGGTGAATCAGTAAGACAGTAAGATTAGTAAAAACAAGTTCTTTCCTATCTCCTGCAAGGCAAATGGCTACCACATGACGAGGCAGCACCTGTCAGCACAAACCCTTGGGTTGTCACATAGTACTTAACTAAATATTTGGGTAGAAGTTTAGATCATACTCAGTCATACTAGATGTCCTAATAAAGCATTAAAGGTACTTAATAACGTAGCAAAACGACAGGTAGTATATATTGAAATTAAAATACACACCTGAAGTAAAACAGTTCGTATTAAAGCATTTACAGACGATGTAAAAAGCTTAGATGTTCCATGAAAACACCATAACACGATGCCACTTTTGCTAAATATTGTAAAAAAGTCTAACATATTGTAAAACCTTTTTGAACAACTCACTCGTCAACTTATCTTGCAGTTACCAGAACACACTTGTTTTACGAACTACTTTAATATAAAAATTGAAACAATGATATTAGGTGTTCAGCCATCCATAGATATTATTCACACTGAAGTTTTACTTTACTATTTGATAATAACTCCTGATTTCTTATGGCTATGGCAATAAACACTAAATTGTTTGAGACTGACCAGTGTTTGAAAGCAAGACAAGTGATGGTTTCTTATAGCTTGTTATTTACAATGATGAATGTTGTATGCTCATTGACTCTAGTCTACAGCCACTTATGTAGTTAGCCAACCTAAACACCATCCACAGGATGCTGCCTCATGGTAAGACCCTCTGGTGGTTTGCTCATGAACCACATAATAAACACCTGCCTGGGCCATTCTGCACAGATAATCTCATTGCCTTCTAGTAGTACTATTTGGAGCTATTCACCCAGTATTACAAAAATACACAACTACCCATCCCTAGTAGAATATTTTGCAACTAACTGCCCTTGGGTACGACTGTGGAACTATGGAGACAGGGGTCACATGACCTCCCAGCTTCACCTTTCCACCTAGTACAGTAAATTAGTGTTTATGATATTACACATCACATGGCTACATCAACCAATCAGCTGGTTAACTATTCACATAGTTGTATTGGCAATATAAGCTGTAATGTATTGAGGGCAACCAGCATGTGTGGGCACAACATGAAAAAAATAAACACAACTAAAAATTTATCAATATTTAGAAAGAGTATGTGCCCAAAAATTAAAATACTATAGACACAAGTTTAGATGCAATTGGGCAGATAACTTTTGGGGGTACAATAAGTAATACAAACTTTCAGTCTACTAAATTAATTTTCTTCAACAGACAGTTTTGGAAAACTCTGGATATCAAAAGTACTTATAAAGAAACCTTTAAATTTTCTATGTTGAGATATAGATTTATATTACTTAAACATCTTCAATAATTCTGGTAATTTCTTACAAGCTCACCTTGTCCATTCTCTGCTCTTAACTGATACTGAACCATAGGATCAAGAATGTTACTTGTATCATGAAGTTCTGTAGCATCTTCAATTGTATTTACTGAGCTATCTACAATAAAAAAGGAAATACAGTTGAAAACAAACATCTCCAAACTTACAATATCAGATATCTGGCATCTGATTATCTTTCTTTCACTAAATTTGTTTTATATTATGATGGCACAATAAATTTTATATAATTTTATCACACTTTAAGGACCATCAAGAATGTCATTAATCTGTTAAAATTTCCAGTTAGTGGGCCCATAGTGGGTGGTAGTTCCATGTACCGAGGAATACCACACTGTCAATCTATCTCAACAAAGAGAAAACTAATTATTAAATCCAGCCATGGTCCTCCAGATATTCATCAACACATTTCTTAACTCATTGCCATACCTTGTCATCATACCTATTAAATGAGAAGTTTGTAATTAATTTGGATATGTATATGTAAACCATTATTTAAGCTTACTGTCTTATAATCATATATAAAATATTTTGCATTATTTATTACAGGTTGTTCATTATTCACAAAAAACAGTATAAATGGATTAAACATGAGTAAAGGTACAGCCTGTATAACTATAAATGTCAATTTGTTCTTCAGATTTATTTATAAACCTATTGGAGAAATGAAACTGCCTCAACTGAAGTTGTGTCTGACCTTTCTATATCTTAAATCTATTTATGATCTGTTGTCATAACATCTTCAGCATTCAATAATGAAAAACTTGATGCTTCAATCCAGATTTAAAAGAAATCAAAGATCTTAATACTGGTTTTGAAGCCTACAAAAGATATGTAAGAAATTTTACCTAAACAAAATACTTAAGTGACTGTTTGATTTTTCAAGCAAATAGTTTAAACTAAATGTTGTATATGTAGTAAAGAATTTTACAGATTTTTTTATGGTAATTTTGATTCAATTTTTTTACAATGCAGTAACAAAACAAACTATAAACAGTATCAATGCCAGTGATAAATATATTTAGGTTGATTAGATTTTAAGGTAATTAAATCATAACACACTCAGATTATAAAACTCGAACCCACCCCCTCTTACATGCGGGAAAAGTTGTAAACAATCGATTATGCAAAAAATAAACTGTGAAAATCATATTTTCACTTTCATTGCTGCCGATATAGATACCTCACTGAGGAGTAAGTTTTTTCAAGCAAGTTCTTGTTGTAGAAGAGTTTATTATGAAATTCAGAGCATCTGTCATTCATTTTCATCCTTGAGTTATTTTCAAGAAATGTTTCAAAACTTTGAAATTGAAAATTGACTGTGAAAAGAACATGTCATTTGCATCCAACTACTTATGTTTTGGTGGGTGCAAAATCATGTGCTCAGTAACATATGCAATAGTGACCTATGTCTGCTGCAGCCTGCCTTATAGCAAACTTCAGAGGAAGTAGCATAGGCAACGCGAGTCATTCCAGACTATAGTAATTTCCCTACACAGATAAAAAAAAAAAATAATTTTTGTTGATTCAGAGTTAGAGGAGAGAATCAAAGGCCTGAAGTATGTACAAGTTAAAGATTACTGACAAAAATGAAAACCAGGACATTTAGGCACCATAAAAGAATCCATTGGGATACCTTTGAAAAAAACAGGATTGTTCCTGCAAAACCCCAACTATCTTAGATTTCTATTCATGTATTTACAAAAAAACTAAGCAATCATATATAATTTCTACTAAAGATAGTGTTCAATGATATACAACTCAAAACTATATTAAAACCCTTATCTAAAACATTAAGTTTTCATTCTCAGAAAATGGCATTTCTCTTCAGAGATTATGATCATTAATATTCTTAAGTTTTAAACTATATTTTTATACAGTCTTCATAAAATAATCTAAAAACTGAAAACATGAGCTCCAGCTGAACTGGAAATTATAATGTATGGAAGCTTATGAAAATACCCGAATGTCATGCTTGTACCCAGTTGTACGTACTGTTCAGTTTTCACCTGGATGTAAATGAAGAAAGTATCTCTTAGTACTTTTATTTTCTTTTTTTATATATATTGACTTAAAAACACAAAAACAGTACCAAGATAAAAATACAGATACAAGTATTGTTTATTATTATTATTATCAACCTCTGATCAATACCACATAGATAAGAACTACGAATTATATCTATAATCAATATAGTTTATTTTATATATTGGATGTGACAATCTAGTGTTCTACCGACATATGCTGACAACAACCTTAACTAGCTCAAAAATGAAAAGTAACAAGTAATCCTGGAAACTGTTTATTAACATATAAATAAGAATTACACAAGACAAGTCATAAACATAAAATAATGGTCTATCTTGGCTGTTGCATCCACTAAACTACACTATTAAATAAAGAAACTTAAAACAAAACAAAAACTTAAAGTTAACCCTTATCATTCATATAGTTATAAAACTTTCTCTGAAACTCACTTAAATTTACTACCTCAACAACATCTGAAGGCAACCCATTCCAGGGGCCAACTTCCCTGTTAGAAAAATAAAATTGTCTTAGCTGACATTCACTTGCTGAGTGGAGAATCCAATCAGGCACTGATAGGATAAAATCTGGATTGTAATGCCTGTGGAAGCAACAGTAAAGAAAACTACTAACCCATGAACTCTCTCTTAATTTTGCAGTTAAGTATTTATACACCAAAGCTCAGCATATGTTGATGTCTCATTCAGTTATTTACTTGAGACTATAACACAAGCCAATTAACAATAAACACCCTGAACAAAGCATGTGACTGTTGAGTTACATTATACACTGTAGTTTAAGCTTAGACAAGATGGTTACACAAAATGTCAGTAGGAAACTTGCAAGTTATTATGAACAGAGGTTATGTATTGTGAAGTAATAAATATGTAGTGATCATATGTCAACAGGTGTTTGCATCTGGAAGAAGAAATAATAACTTAATTCTAACTAGAAGTGTGCTACATCATAAAACAATAACTTACAATGATTAGGGTGCACTGATTCATCAGCTTGGAACCCTCACTGTTAGCAATATTTTGGCCATAATCCAAATATGATGAGAGGACACAAGTAAGATACAGAAAAGACAAGCTACGTGCTATTTAACACTTTTCTAACAAGGTAATTGGTTTATAGAATGATTGGCCATTGGTAATAGTGGAAGCAACATTTGCCAAGAGTTTAAAATATAAAAAACAAAGAATGATCTTACGCTTTTACTTTACTTCAAAAGTGGGTGTAAAGGGACAACCTTTAAGGAACAGAGGGTCCCTTGTTGTCCATACACTATGTTCATAACATCTTATGAGGTTCAGCCAGTTTAAAATATTTAGGTTAGTTATAATTCCATATAATACACAGAAAGTGCTAAATAATCTTCTTAATAGTATATATATAATAGAAAATTAATATACACACAAAACATGTTAACCAATATTGTTAATAAAACTAACATTAAAGAAATTGACAACATCTTCATGCAACTTATAATATTTAATAATATCCCAATATATTTCTTGTTAATGTGGCACAGTTGAATTTTATAAATACTCTTGTTTACTGCACATACAATATACTGCTGTAACTTAAATTCAACATGCATCATATTACAATTAAGTGATGACAAAAATGTAATAAGTTACACATAAATTTGAACACATTTGGTAGCATTTTTGGATATACTATAACATTTTAAGGCTTACCATCAGCTTGCATGTGTGAGGTATCATCAGATGCTCCTGAATCATTTACCTTGTCACCACTGCTGAAAGAATACAACCAAAACACTACACTGTGTGAGTGTATTTAAAAATTTAAACAAGGATGCATCAAAACAAGACAGGCATAAAAGTTTGGTAAAATGTAAATTAGAAATTATCCATACTAATTCAATATAAACAAAACATGCCTGTTCCAGTTTCATTGTAAATCAAGAAACAAATCTCAAACATGATAAAAAAGATGAACACAAAGATTAAACAGGGTAGAAAAATTATAGATATATAACTATACACCTCTGTGTCAAAGGTCAAAAATAATTCAAATAATTTGCAAACATCATAAATTCAGAACAGTCTTCAAAAAGTCATACCTTAATAATATATTAGTACATGCCAAACTGCATAAAAATCCAGTAGGCAGCAACACACAATACAGAAGTCAAGAGCTCAATAAACATAGAAGAATGTATTAATACTGTATCAGCAGTGGCCCATTATTTTAGAAAAAAAGGTCGCATAATTAAATGTAACAATATTAAGACAATGCGATACCACACACAATAAAAAAATAAAGGAAGCTTTAACATCATCTAATACAATCAACCTATGACATGAGTAAGTCAGACTTGGATACTCCTCTTGAAAACATTTGGATAGATTGCAAAGTCTCAGTGGAATGAGAACACAAGGAGAGGACACCATGTGCACAACTGCCTTTCTGACAAGGAGACCTGGGTTCAAATCCTAGTTCCTGCCACCACAATCAGTGCTTACTAGGTACTCCCTGAAGATGGCAACAGAAATATGATGGAAAACTGATTAGAATTATATGTTGATGACCATAAAGACATTGTCTGTACTAACTTTAGAAGCCCACTGAACAGACAGTTTGGTTCGGTTCTGTGGCAAAACATATCTTCCTAGTATCAATACTGTTAAATTTAGTATTAAAACTTTAAATGTAGTTTAAAAAAATTAAAGTACGTAAAGTTTATATCGTATAAGGCTTAAAGTTAAAAATAAAATATTGGTATTGAACTTTGAACCTAACTTGAACTTGCCCACCGATGTTAACATTGCGTACTAACTATTATTAGCGTCAACACCAAATAACGCTAATAATATACAACAAATCTTCAGCTTTGAGATATGGTATCTTATTATTAATAAGCGTATAAACCATTTAAAAGACACGAGGATAATAAATAATATTTGTCATAAATCATTACATCTGCATGATGTGGCACAGCAGTCAGTACGTATGTTATCTTACATGGCCATCACATCGGCTGATGTTTTGTAATACGCAGAATATTAACTTTGCTTAATTTAAATAGCACAAACGTGCAACATCAGTTTTTACCTAGTATCTATATCTTGATCTAAGAGATCCATGTGGGTGACCAAAACTGGCAGAAGGTTTTGAATTTACCAGGAAGCGCACACACTCGATCACGGGACCAAACAACACGTCATGTGAGTTGTGAAAATAAGCATGTGACAAAATGGCGGATACTTATAAGGTTAGGGGAAGCTGCAATTATTACTTTTTCATCACATCCAGTTTTTGGAAGACGTATTATTTTTTTAAAGAGTGATACAGTAAATATAACAGATATATTTTCTTTTTATGGTGTCTCAAATTTGTCAGAGACAATTATTAAATTACTTTATTCCTTGGCTTTAAATAAAATATATATCATAATGTATTTTACTTGTATATTTACTGGCTTAAATAAATACATATATATAATTTGTTGTGGTTCTACACTTTCAAATAATTGCTTAGGTTTGATAATAATGCACAGTAGCGTAAGAAGTGGTGGGACAGGACCCCTCACTTTTCAACTTGTCCCAGTAAAAATGCATCAAAATTACTCTCAAGAAAAGCAGTAGAATGCATAGAATTTAATCCAGAGCCGGCCCGGCATGGCCAGGTGGTTAGGGCGCTCGACTCGCAATCTGAGGGGCGCGGGTTCCAATCCCCGTCACACCAAACATGCTCGCCCTTTCAGCCGTGGGGACGTTATCATGTACAGTCAATCCCACTGTTCGTTGATCAAAGAGTAGCCCAAGAGTTGGCGGTGGGTGGTGATGACTAGCTGACTTCCCCCTAGTCTTACACTGCTAAATTAGGGACGGCTAGAGCAGATAACTCCCGAGTAGCTTTGCGCGAAATTCAAAAAACAAACAAAACAATAATCCAGAGTTCAAGATCTACTTGTGCTCTGAGGCGAGCCTTGGACTATAATTTGTGCGCCTGTGGCGCATATTCTCTGGTTTCACTCAGTCAAATATATCTTGTTCCCTTCCATCTTTTAATTTGTCTCCTAAGCCTCTGATACAGTATAAGAAATGCATATAATTCAACATTAAATACCAAATGTACTTTTAAGCAGTGTAATTGATATTGGCACATATTAGTTGATTTGAGGAAACATCTTAATTATAATTGTAGCGTTATCATAAAAGTGTCCAGTCTCTTACTTGAGGCACAATTTACATTACACAGAGAGACTGTCAAATCTCTCTCAATACATGCACGAGTACATTTAGTTATTTTTTATATTATTATTTATTTATTTAACGGATAAATTTGCTGGCTGCTAGAGTAAAGTAAAATATATTAACATATCCTGAAGAAGAGTTGAGGCTCGGAACGTCGATATAAATTAATAACACTGCTACCTCTTGCTTTTTAACCGTTTTCTTCATCAAAATAAATTGACTCGAGGCATCTCGTAACTGTGTATCGAACTCTTGATGTCCACGTGCCAAAATTACAGGAGCTGGATAATACGTAGTTCCTATTACTATATATATTATCATAAAGAGAACTGGTAATGAGGGAACTACTTACCTGTATTATTACTATATATTATAATAAAGAGAACTGGTAATGAGATACAGGTAAGTAGTTCCTATTACTATATATTATAATAAAGAGAACTGGTAATGAGATACAGGTAAGTAGTTCCTATTACTATATATT